TCCCGCCCAGGGGGGGTTCAAGAAGACCCTGCCCAAAAAAAAAAAAAAAAAAAGACTCACTTTTTTCTACAATCTTTAATTTCTGGAAGCTTTCCAGGACCTCCCCATTTAGAATTCTGGGTAAGAAGTCCCGTATCTGCATCACCTCCGTGGTCAGCCTTTCGAGATCCTTCTTCCGGACTTTAACAAATTCTTCTTTCAATCCCATGTGCTAAAAGAACAAGCAAATCGTAAGAAGACTACGGTCCTCTTCAGAGGACCAAAGCCAGCACCCAAATCAACTTCCTTTCATGCCTTTCATGTTCCTGATTACCTCAAACTGTGTTCACCTATGTCCCTTTGGGGGGGTTGGGGGGTAGTCATCTGATGAAGAAGTATCTCACTAATAGCCCCGGCTGTTCTGGCACTAGGTCAGGCTGGCCTTGAACCTGTAGCCATGTGCATGCCACCTCCACCCCCCACCCCCTACTCTCCCCACCCTGCTAGGGTCCCAGGCTCAGGCCACCCCTGGCTAATCTGGTACCAAAACACACAGATGGGCTCAAGGGAGGTGACCCACCCCTGTAGTCCCCACATCTCACAGACTGGGGAAAAGAATGGTTTTGCCCCGGGTTCGAGGGTGGCCTGGGCGACACACCAGGCCTGTGCTTCCAAGGCACAAACAAACTTGGTGGCGCACGCCTGTAATCCCAGCACTCGGAGGCAGAGGCAGGCGGATCTCTGTGAGTTCCAGGCCAGCCTGGTCTACACGGTGAGTTCCAGGCCAGCTTGGGCTACAGGGAGACCCTGTCTCAAAAAGACCAAAAGAAATAAATTATAAACAAACAAAAGCAAAGCCAGCGCCACGTGGAAGGGCTGGGAACACGGGAAGTGCACACGCCTCTGTCGCCTCATGGGTCGTGACAGGATGTGGCCGGTCCCGGGCACCTGAAGCCGAGTGGGGGGGGCGCACTCTCAAGGCCTCTCAGAACACCGAGGATTGGGCGACTCACAGAGACCCGCGTGGCCGCCCACATCCCCACCTGGGGTGCGGCCCACGTCCCCCCCCACCCCCCGCGAACGCTGCTCTGACCCCATTCTGCTCCGCGACGCGCCCCGCCTCGCCCATGGCCTCCGCCACGGCTCCGCTCTGCGCCTGCGCAAGCCAAAAAGCGCGGGAAGCGGGATGGCAAGCGGCGAGGCTCACACTTGCACGCGTTTCCTTGGTCTCGGGCCCACGTGGTGACCAGGATGCCCGCAGCTCGCCTGCAGGGCCCTCACCTTGTCACCTCCACCCGCGAGCTTAGTGTGGAGCAAAACCAGAGGAGACAATCGTTTCAGAACTGTCCAGAGGGGCAGTAGGCCCGAGGCCCGGTGGACCATCGGGAGGGGCACTAGGCCTGGGGCCTGTTCAGACCCTCCTCAGGAAACGGTCCAGCTGCCCTCATCCCTCCCCCAAATGCATCTATGTTTAAGAAACAGTAGATATTAGTGTTTTCTTTCAAACACTGTAAAACTTGGAACTTGGCTTACAACTCAGAATTCTGATCTTTTTTTTTTTTTTTTTTTTTTTTTTTGAGACAGGGTCTCCCTGTAGCCCCAGCTGTCCTGGAACTATGTAGACCAGGCTGGCCTTGAACTCACAGAGATCCACCTGCCTCTGCCTCCAGAGTGCTGGGATTAAAGGTGTGCACCACCACGCCCAGCAGAATTCTTATCATTTAATTCCACCACACCCTGCAAGACTTTTATTTAAATATTTTTATTTTATGGGTATGAGTACATTGCTTGTATGGAAGTGCACCCATGTTGTGCAATGCCTGCAGAGGTCAGAAAAGGGCTTTCGATCCCCTGGAACTGGAGTTACTGCTGGTTGTTAGCCGCCATGTGGGTGCTGGGACTCAAACCTGGGTCCTCTGAATGAGCAACCAGTGCTCTTAACCGCTGAGCCCTCTCCCCAGCCCCACACCCTGTAACACTCAAGGAAAGGCCCTGATGCCTGCCTGAGCTTGATGGCCTATAGTGGAGTTCGGCTCCCTTCCACTAGCCAATTCCTTAGGCTGTGAGGTTGGACCCCAGTCAATGGGGAAAAGTTCTCATGCGTTAGAGATAAAAGCCCCAAGCTTCTTGGATCTGACAGACCACACAAGGCACCCTTTTGTAAAAGTAAACTCTGCTTTGCCCAGTTACTTTCATTTTGTCCACTCGTCCTTTGTGCAGGATCGATAGGGTCCTTGGACCTTGTATTTTATGTCTAACACAGAGGAGTTACTTTGGCCAGGTAACTATGATAATCAAGGTTTGCAGATAGGCATGGAGGTGCATGTGCATAATCCGGGCACTTGAGAGATCAAGGCAGGAGTTCAAGATCAGCCACACTGTGTAGCAAGCTGTGGGGTCAGCCTGGTCTACATAAGGCTCTGTCTCAAAAAAACTAAACAAATAGCCAAAGTTTGGAGGGGTCTCCTAGTGCAATAACTTCCCCCAAATGCTGACCCTACAAAATGTATGCTAGTCTAGGGGTCTGGATGATCCTACAGTTAACACAACTGTTATGACCTCTTGTGAGATGAGTATGTTCCCACTCTCCAGAAATGTGTGTTGCATGCCTGAAGACCCAAGGACAGGGGCAAGCCATGCCAGACTCTAAGCCTGCCCCAGCATGCTGCCTGGACAGGTTGGTTTCCTCCACACTGAATATCCCTGCACCTGTCCGGGACGCTGAAGAGATGGCCGGCTTGCTTCACATTCCACCCCCTGCAGCTGCCATAGGATATGTTCCCTCTCTGACCCTACACCTGCATCTAGCATTATGGGAAAGTGCACAGCCCCTATCTCAGTTGCCAGCCTAGAAGTTAGCTACCAAAGATGGCTTCCAGGTCTCAACTCCACTCGGAAAAGTGGATCTCCAGACCCTGACGGGGGGGGGGGGGGGGGGGGC